GTAGCATCTCTTCTTTCATGTGGTGGCCTTTCCTTATTGATGTGCAAACATGTGCATAAGCTAACAGTGACCTTAATCACTCAACATAGTCATGTAGACACTGTGGGAAACAAAACTTTTGAACCAAACATTAGCATAAATTTGATGAACAACGTGTCTTTTTATGTATTGGTGTGTGTCATATGCCATCATGTTGTAAGATAAGTGTCCATCTCAGTCAGTTTGTTCCAAGTTCAAAACTTTGGAAAGTATGTACTTGACAGTCTGTATCACCCTTTCCACTGATCCATCACACTGGAGGTGATAATGTGAAGTGTACATCTTTACCACACCCAGTGCTTTACACAACTCTCGAAACATTTGATTAACTAATAGAGCTGAATTTTTCAAGTACTCCAAACTTAGCTCTTTAGCATTTCAGCAGTGCATCAGCTGTGCATGCATATCAATAGATTGATAAGCCTTGGCCCACTTCATGTATTTGCAGTGACCACCAGTATATAGATGTAGCCTCTTTCTGTCTTCTGAAGTGAGCCATCAATACCCAGGGTTATTATCTGTAGAGGAGAATCAGTAATTCTTTGCTGGAGTTTACCCTGTTTAGATCAACTTTTTCTCTAGGTAGCACATACTGTATCAGTGCTAAATGTCTTGACTTGAATGTGGCTGAACTACCATCAAACATTAGTACAAATGCATGTAACAACTTGGTGCTTTCCAGTATTTGTGTTATGCAGAGTCTGGAAAATATTGTGTCTCAGACCATTAAATGTAACTCAGGTTGAGAACCACTGCTTGGTGGTTGTTAACAACAGTATAACACTCCTTTCTGTACTCATATCTGATCATACAAGTTCCATAGGTTTACATGTGTCCATGTTACATTCTTCAACTTGAGCCAAATGAGCTTTATCTTGCTTCACAGTTGCTCTTCTCAGAGCTTCTGTGGCACTGGTTGTGGCATCAATTCACTAATGAAATTATATATTTCATTACAGCATAAATGGCCATAACTCCCATAGAATCTGGACATTCAACAAACGGACAGGAACTCACCATCTGGTAAGATAATCCTTCTGTATTTTTGTGTTGTGGATCTAGTTGGTATGATCAAATTATACTCCTGTGATGCTGTTATCTAAGTAAGCTGTCAGTCCAGTTTGGGTTTTTATTGTCATCAACAGTTTATGTGCTACATGTTCCACTTGAACAGCGAACTCCCTACTGTGCAAGCATTGCTGGAAGTATTTTACAAAGACGAGAAACGCAAGCAGTTCTTCGTTGAACAGTATCTGCATTCCGTAGCCATAAACATACAACTAGCATAGACAGTTACACATTTTACTTCATTCTGCAACTATGTTAACAGGAATTTACAATTCTGTCATAGATATGCCAACAGCTGAGCTCTACTCTAGCACATTGAAGAGACTTACATTCCTGATTCTGTGTAAAGTGCAGTTCTGCTTCAGTAAGAGCTGATAATGGTGAGGCTATCTTGAACAAGTTGGCCACAAACTGTTGGTATTATAATGAGAAACTACAGATTTCTCCTCTGACCACAGATTGAAGCTAATTTCCTAGTGCTATTTTAGCAGGATCTGAGGAGATTCCTTGCGTGTGTGTACAGCATTATGGAAAAATGCATGTTCGGTGGGTTTTAATTTCAAGGCTGCCTTTTTTTTTTCAGATCCTCAGCTGCAGACTTGAGTACATGACCAAACAAAAATATTGTCAATATTTACGAAGCCCTTTATTTATTTCAGCTCTTTCAGTGTAAGCTCCATTAGCCTCATATTAGTGACGGGCACATTATACAAGTTGGACTGCATTACACAAAATTTGTACAAGCCTTCCCTCGTGGTCGAAGTAGTTTTGGATCTGTTGTCATCATCCAGTTTGACTTGCCAGTGTCCTGATGTAACAATCAAATGGGCCTCTTTCAACACGTCCAGACATTCATCTGTTTATGGTGATGGAAAGATGTTTACCCATCTAAAATCAGTGCAAATCCTGGATGTATCTTCCTTTCATTCAGACATTCACCACTGGAGAAAACCAAGCACTCTGTGAAGGTTGCATAATTCTGTCCTTTAACATTTACAATATTTCACCACTGGCAATATCCATTGGACTGACCTTGCATTACAGAATTAATGTTTACTATACTTCTGAATTTTCTATATAAGTTTTTAACTCTTGCTATGGACTCGGTCGATTTGACCTAGTTTGTGACTCCAAATTGACCTTTAAAGTTTCCATTCTATAACTTTTAATATGTTTTGTGTGTCTATGCAAAATTTCTCAAGCATTGTTTGGAGACAAAAAAGCTGAATTTTTGAAAAGTATTTGTACTAAAATCTCTCAGTGAACACATGGAGTCCCGTTTTGACTGCTCTGAGTTCAAAGTGATTTTGATGTTAAGATTAAAAATACTTTTTCTTTAATTGAAACAGCCAAATTTCTTTGTGTTATCTCCAAAACTTCTTAAATAAATATTGAATGTTTTCCAGTAAAACCTTTTATTTTACCTGTTATTTTACCCTACCTTAGCAAACGTTCAGTCAGTTTAACTGACCTCGTAACCACCATAAAAAATACGAAATATATCTGAATTACCCTTTCTTTCCAGAGTGACTGCAAATTTTAACGGGAAACTACAGTTGTTTATTCTAAATAGCTTAAAGCTCATAACTATATACATTTGTTTCTACTTAAATTTTATTGTTTTATTGCACTTTGAGCCATATCTGACAAAATTCCACCACACAAGTTGTAAATCATTCAATAAATGTGTGTTACATTACTTTGTTAAGTTATGTAATGCATGAGATACTCACATGCATACCCCCATGAAAAGTTTTTCTTTATTGTACTTTATCTAACCTAATAAGTTTCTAATTTTTGCATTTTATTTACTTTTATAATAAATAAATAAAGAATACGCATGAAAAACAATAAATATTGTATTTACATGGGTTGTCAAGTGAACTGAAGCCTAATTTTTTTATACTAATGGTATTATTACACTAAATATGTTTTATCTAACCCTTTATCATCCATATAGATAGTTATTTTCCATTACCATATTTGGTTTAAATGTACAGGTGGAGATGTCCAGCAGGGGGGTGGAGATGATAAAGGGTTAATCAAATAATGTACTTAAGAACACAGAATAATAACATACAAAAATCAAATAATGTCTCATAACTTCCATAACTTTTCTGGCTTTCCGACTGTGCAATAAGAGCCTTTAAAAATTCAGCTAAACTAGTTGACGTGATTCTTTCGAGAACAAATTCTCTATACAGAAAACAGTGTAGTATAATAGTCATTTGATAGATTAGAGTTTTGGCTTTCTGTTGGTTATAAATAATATAATACATCAGAGAGAACTATTGGCAAGTAGAGAAAGAGAGGATGAGACCAGTGAGGATGGTATGTGGGTCTGATTTTCTAACTTGTGGCTCTTTAAACAAATAAGATTGAAGGCTATAAAAATATCTATATTATAATGAGTAAATTGTGCTACTTCTTGGAGGAGTTGTAAATATAATAGAGAAGAGGAAAGACCTAGAGAGCAAATTCTCATACCATTAACTACATTTTGATGCCAAGTTTATTTGTATACAATGATTATAAAGTAATTTAATTAAATTTTGAATATAACTCTTTAAAAGGTCATGACATGCTCTCTCTCACCCTACCCATAGCAAGAGGAGTAATATAAACATTACAAGTATGTTGTACACAGAAATTATGAATTTTCAATAAGATATTTTTATTAAATATTTTTCTATTAATTTACTGAATCTGACTTGAACTAACTAATTTTTATGCAAGATGATTCTCATGCAAAAAAAAATTGTATTTCGTTTACATAATATCTCGAACCTCTTAATTAAATTAGTATCAAAGGTATTTGTTTTGGAAAAACTTTATACTTCTCTTATTATCTGTAGCAAAAGTTGAAAGTATAAAATAAAATGTATCTTTTTTTTTATTTATCTCGGGAGTTTGGGCTTTTCACAGTTGCTCTTATTTAACTTTATGCTCTATGAATCATGTCTTACCTATTGTGACCAGTACTAAATCACATAGCAGAAATGTAGAGAGATTCGGGTAAACAAAGTTCAGGTTGCCACACACAATGTTTATATCCTCATGAGTTCCTTGAGTTGTATCATAAAAAAGAATTAATTCTTTTTCACTGAGTTTCTTTGTATAATCTAATAAATTTCAAATATTTTACATTTTAAATACTTTTATAACAATCATTCAAAAATATACTTATAGAAAAATACAATATTTAAGTGTGGGACTCTTTTTTTTTTTCTTTTTAGCTGTTGAAGTCTCAATAGAAATTAACCCTAGTTTTTGATATGGATGTTATTATTCCAAATATGCAGTTCATACTGCAAAATAATAGCATATACAAAGAATACAATGCCCTATAAGTATTATAGTATAACTGGTTTCCTAATCAACCCTTTGTTTATGGGATTCATCATTTTAATCAGCTTTGCAACTGAAACTATACGTACTATAACTTTCAATGTAGATAATGTTTCTTCACAGAATTTGGCAAAGTTTTATTAAGCATTCCAAGCCTTTTGTACACAAAAAAATTGATATTTTAATTGCATATTTTTAGAAAATATTTGTCTGTGAAGTTGTACATTATGTACATTTCACAGTTTACTCTAAATCTTGGGTAGCACACAAACTAGCAATTCTTATTACTTTGTTCTTCTTAGCAATATCTTGGTATTTGAGGGCCTTAGCAGTGGTCACCAAATACTTTTTGTTTTTTGGCAACAGTCAACTGGATTACAGTTTTATTCAATTCTGGATAACTTGAATTATTTTTGTTTTAGCATCAGTTACAAAATTTTTGCCATAAAGAACAACATCAAAGTGTAGATTTGTGTTTATGAAACTAACATGTAAATATTATTTTTAAAAATTAAGGCTTAAAAGTTTCGTTTTTCTTTTCCCAGCTAACTTGGTACTTCATAAGACCATTGAAAGAATTCATGTTGGTAAAAGGTATGGAGACATTCCTCGTGGAATTTTTATTGTTCGAGGAGAAAATGTTATTCTTTTGGGAGAGATAGTAAGTTTTAATTATATATATTGTAAGGTAGTTTTGTAAATAAAGTCTTAATGAAATGAAAATTTTTGAAAGAAAAGCATTTTGTAATTGCGATGTTGGTAATCCACTAATTGTTTGTTTATTTTTAAGCTTACTACTTTATTTTATTTCGTATCATGGTTGTTCTAAAAATTTTATTTATTGTACCATCAAGTGAATACAATGAACATTAGATATACCTCCCCCCCAATAGGAGGACAACACTTCCACATTACTCCTCTTGAGTATTTTATTTAAATCAAATGCTCATATTTTTTTGTCAGCAATGCACTGTGTAACACACTGTTAAGAAGAAGAAAAAATTTCAAGTTCAGGGATCTTGTTGACTATGAATTGTCATATCTGTGTTTCTGAAGCCTCTCGAAGTCCAGATACTCTTCAACAACAGTCATCTTCTCCTACCTCAGTGATGAATGATGTTACTGTAATTGTACATCAGATGGTGAGTTCTATCGTACATTTTTTTCTCAGGCCTGAAATTTGTGGCCTCCTCCTTTATTTTCTGCTGAGCCAGCTACATCTGTGAACAGTTTTTACCAACTTCTTCCCACTGCTTGGCTTTGCTTCTGTTTTTTCTGTCTCGGACGAGAATCAGGTAGCTATACCTTTGTCCTTCACTGCTACACTATATTGGATATGTGACATTCTTTCATTTACTTCATTTATTTTTTATGTTTCACAGGTGAACTTATTGCATAAACCTCAAAGCTTGGTTTTTCTTCTCTTCCACCCTCATTTGGTATCTGCAATCATGCACATTCTTTTCTATCTCAGCTTGATGTTGACCCTCATCCACTCTCTCCTTTAGACCCCTATTCTATGACGTCTGGTCAGAATTCTTCTTCATTCATAGAGCTCAAATTCCTTGAATTTCTTCTTCCAGCTTGGGAATTTTCATCATCTACTTTGACTCTTACCCTCAATCTGCTGATCTTCTTCCTTTGCATGCTCTACTTCTTCACTGTCTGTCCTTTTTTACACATTTATTCTGAGGCTATGCTGGGAATGATCACACCTACCTGTTTTCCATGCTTGTCGTGATTTTTGGAGTTTTTAGGTGAAAAATGCACTCAGTGGGTCAGCATTCTTACCACAGTGTGGACTATTTGCTCCTTTTAGCCTCATCTGTGAGGTATTCTCTGCTTTGGTTTCTCTTCTCCTTGGGGTTGGCTGATCAAATTTTCAAAGTTAGTATTGATCCCCACTCATTATCTGATTCATTTGAGTTTCTTAACTCATTTGCTGGATTAGTTCAACTTTCTCTTTTATGTCTCTGAGACAATGAGCTTCTGTTTATAACTCTTCCATCTTCTTCTCTTTCTATATGAGAGGTTTTGTCTGTTTTGTGGTCTCTAACCTCTCTTGTGCCTCTTATCCTTCTGTCTGGTCATCTTGTCATGATCCATTCAAACAACTCATTTTTTACATCAATCGACAGGGTACTCTTTGAACTTCTGCTTTCTTACTCTCAAGCTCCTCTTTTGGGCCTCTGACCACTACATCTGATTGTTGGCCTCGATGTCATGGAAGCTTTGAACTTTGTGACAGATTAGCTGTTTCTTTGAGACCATATCCTTCGAACAGGGTGGACGCTATGCCCTCTGATGTTTTCGCTGGACTTGTTTCCTCTTTGGGAGTCTTTTCATTACTTTTCACTCATCATATCATGGAAACAATGGAGCCCACCACATGGTTGGTTTTGCCTTGTGAGGAATACTTCTCTCTCCCAAACTATGCATCAAATTGAAAGTTACAGTGTTCAACCACTGTTGAGATGGGGGTTTTCCACAAGACTTTGTTTGATTTTTGTATTTGCATACCCTTTTCCTTCCTTTTTTTTTTTTTTACAAAATTTAGGTGTTTATAAGTATAGTTCAGAAACTGAACAACCCGAGGAATATTGGATATTTTGAGTTATATGATTTCTCTTGCTGTATTGATGTCAAACAATAAAGATAAAGGAAATCGGGAACTTTCCAGTCTTCAGTCTGAGTAAAAAAGGCTGAGTGCTGTTTTTTATGACCTAATTTCTGAGTTGGTACCTGAGGGTTATAACAAATATGATTCTGATTTCACATCTAATTACTGACATTGGCTTCTCTGTATAGTTTTGTATGTATTATTTGAATAATCGACATTCATTCATGAATGCAACATCCAAAAAATAAGTGTTCTACAAATGCTAAATAACAACAATATACGTTACAACGGTGTTGAAGACTTACCTTTGAGCCATTTATACATGAATGAGTGTTTTTATTTTATAATTATTGTGCTGTATTAGGGACTTTCTGCTCCAAAGACTGTACTCATTTTTATTTTGAAAATTTAGCTTGCACATATCTACATACTTAAATGATCTATAAACAAATCTTTCTACATGTATACTCTAATGAAATCAAGAAGAGAGTGAAAAAGATAAGACTCTAAAATAAGCTGCTTAGCTCTTTGTACACAGTAGCCATTTCTTGTGCAGCTACCATTCAGATTTTGCATACACCTCTAGCCTTGAACTATCTCCCACCTTGTGTTTTGACATGAACTGTGCTGATACATGGTGTAATCATCATGCATCAATAACCATCAACCAATAGGAGAGCGACACATCCTCCATGCATATTAGGTACCCATAAGCACTTACACTTAAAAGTAATTCATTATTAAACTTGGCACTACTGTTAACAGACACGTTTAATTTTGCTTTTCCATATTGAAATATTTTGCATGCTCTTTATGACTGGTTGGATATAGCAATCTTTAATATTATAGTTACTGTCTTTTTGAGTATTTCTTCTTTCAGTTCATGCCTATTTTTCATTTTCAAATTTCATGAAATTTATGATTCAATTTTTCACTTTTGTTCATTTCTGAACAGTGGTAAACTATAAGTTGTATTTGGGTTATAAGAGGATAGAAACTAGCTGATGCACAAAACTCTTTGTAGTACAAGCAAGGATATAGAATAATTTTTGTTAGTAGGGTTGAAAAACTACATGAAGGATTCCTAGGACTGTGATGTATTACTTTACCAGGCCACAAGCCTTTCCTGAATAGTTCTCTTATTTCCAAAAACATGGAATGTTTTTATAAAGAGTTAAGAAAGAAAGAATCTGTGGACATTTTCGAGCAGTTCTTCACTGGAAACTTTAATGTTTCTGGGGCTTCATCATCCCAAGGTACTGGCTATATTCACAGAGCTGAAATATCATCTGGAATGAGACTAGTTAATGTCCTCCATTATTTGTTTGCTGAATTTGAGATACTGTGCAATATAATGTATTGAAACTCCTCACAGTTTTTACCATGTTTATGGCTGCTGGAGGTTCTTTGTCTGTGGAAGATGTTACCACCAGTTTTTACCATTTAATGGATTTGCCTTCCTTCTCAGTTCCTCTGTTTCCTGTGCATTCGTCATTCCATGAGGTCAACATTGTCCAGCTATTTATACTGTCTCATTTTTCTATGTCCTTATTATTTTCTGTTGAAGAATGCCTGATTCTGCTTTCTCTTTGTTGATTGTATTGGGTTGTATCATGTTTTTCCAATACAGTATTTCCCTCTTCTCACAAGATTAGCTTTTCCTATTTTGTGCTGCCCTCTATATGAAAACTTTTTTTATAATGCATGCCACAAGTCTTCCACATATCCCTATTGGAATCAAAGATTTCAATGTGTCTTTCATGCAAATCATCATGTGTCACCTCTCAACCAATAGAAGAGCAGTACAATCACGTGACACACGTGTGACTCCCTCTGTACGCCTCTACCGTACTATCACTCCTTGTTCAGCTGTGCTCGTGTTCAGACATTTTGAATTTTGCTCTTGTGTTCTTCGCCATCGTAACACTTTTTATAGCCACAGTAGTTTTCTACTTGTTTGCTTATACAGCTGACAAATGTGTTTTCAGTTACTTTCCAGTCTTTAATTTTTTGCACGACGTAGTTATCTATCAACCAATATACAATGAATTCCATAGTTTCCCTATGACCATGAATACCTTTTGCCATTGCTGCAGGTGGTGGAGACTCGTTGATGGAATTTCCTGTGATTGTTTGCTGGGTAATTGGGTGTTATATAGGTCAAACACATTCTACTGTAGCCCCACTTCCTGTTTGTTCATGTGAAGATTTGATGGCCCTTTTCATCACCAGATTTTGCCGTGTATTCCTCTGTCTACCTGCAGAACCAGCTAGGCCTAAAATGGCGTTTTTGGCTATATTTCTCAGGTATGTTTTATCCCTTTCCCTGGATATTAGGGTTCATGCCTGCTTTTCCTTCCCATTGAGTTGACGGTGCCAGCATGATTCGCCCATAGATTGGTTTGCTTTGGCTTTCTCTCTTGCAGACTGTCTAATTCTAGTCATTCTGTTGTTGGGGTCTGATTTACTATGGGGGAGACTCCCTGATTTTCCAGTGCATTCTCTCGTTCCTGTTCTCCTGCCCTTGTTTTACCCTTTCAAAGGATAGAAGAAAGAAATAGGAAGGGAAACCATGGATTGAAGCCATGTAGGCAAAGCAATACATAAGAGTACATAGAACGCTATCATGATCAGGCCAATATAAAGTGGGAAAAGGTAGAAAGGAAGGAAAGAATCAGCAAAGGGAGAGTACCACCCGCACTGCAGAAGTGTAAGAAAAGAACAGGAGGTTTGTGGGCTTGCTTCTTCTGCCCTCACCAATTGGTTTTGGTCTTTGTCTCGATTGGCTTATTCTTCTCTTAGGTATCCTCCTGGACCTTGTTCCAGGTGTATTCTCCCTGCTTTCTCTGGCTTCTCATCTTCATTGTCCCTTAGAGGACATTGTTCAGTGGGGTAAGTGAACTACACCTCAAATCTTTCTCTCTTCTTCGGGTTCTCATTCCACACCTGCAACCATTTTTCACACTTCCATGCAACTTTTACCAGATAGTTATATTAATACTTTCCTTTCAGGGGCCCTTGCTTCATTTCTCTTCTTATGG